TCTTCCAACATCGAGACTTTCCAACCACGGGTGTTCCCTTTTCCTATCGGGGTACTCTGCGGAAAGGTAGTTGAATGAGGGCGACAGCTGGTGCTTGCAGGAGTGTATGCCTCGTGGCGGATATGGACCCGGCTGATTTGGGCCATTTCAACATAGTCTCATACTCCTCTAAGGTGGGCACCGAGTCGAGCTGCGGAAATTCGAAGCACCGCGAGACTAGAGTTCCAGAAATGGATCAATACCACGAGGAACACCTGATCGACACGGATCTTCGATAGGTCTAAAATCCGTCCATAGGATTTTTCAAAATCGGCGCGGACCTCTGATGGCATTGCCGCGCTAAGCCGTTCCAACTTCTCAGTATGATAACGGGGAATATCCACCTTCTTTAACTGTCTACTGGTCCCCTCCATTTTCTAAAACCAAAATGCATGTTTTATGAAAAATGATGCTTATCATGTTTTGTATGAATGAATGAATGTGAGTGTTTATTTTCTGTTTATCATGTTTTGTATGATATTTATTTTTTTCGAAAAATAAACTACCTATATGAATGATTTGGGATGTTTATGAATCAGGTCTCATTTATTGTTTTGATTTTTATTGCTTTTTATTTAGTATTTTATTTTTATTTATTTGTTTATTTTATAGCCTTTTATCTCTTCATGTCGGAACTACGTGGCTACTTAGCTTGCAAAGAACTCGAAACCAGGCTAGCTAAAAGGCGGATCGTCCGAGATAAAAATATGGCTTTATGAGAAAGAATAATTAGCATCCCTTATCTCTTCTGTCGGAACTACGTGGCTACTTAGCTTACAAAGAACCTGAAACCAGGCTAGCTAAAAGGCAGACTGTCCGAGATAAGGGTGTTTATTTGGAAAATATATTTTTTTGTGATTTTTCTTTGTTGTTTGTTTATGCTATGCAATAAACAAATGCAGCAAACATATGCACACACAATTCGATCATCCACGAACAGGCGAGAATTCGTTTTTTATCACGAGGTAGGGTTTTCCTGCAGAAAAGTGCATTGGCAAGGGTAGGTTCTAACTGTTCTCACCAGGCTAAGGCCCCCAAGGTGCCCCCATTATAGGGTCCCCACTCTCCAGCCTTCCGACCATGCTTAGCACTAAGGCCATAGTCAGTCTTGTTGCCAAAAGAGAAAGGTTATCACCTTGAGTGGTGATTTCCGATCACACCGGTGGGCACAAGGCCATCACTACAACGAACCGTACCTGCCACCCATTCCCTATGGATTTCTCACTTGCCCCCGGGTATAGAGGGAACTGTAGTGTGCAAGGGTTTGTGTACAGTTTGTATTTCAAACAATTGCGTAAATATAAACAAGCAACAGTTATTAAAGCCAAACAGTAAAACATGTTATAATACAAGGTAAGGGTAAAAGCATTATTTTCTTGGTTTATTTATTTTTTAAGCTGGCCCATCACTAAATGGGATCAACTCTCAAGGCTTCCCCAGTGGAGTCGCCATCTGTCGCCACCGTCAAAACGAGGGCGGTCGGAGCGACGCGATGGTTTCGACCCTCTTGTTTTTCGCATTTTTTATTGGTGGTTACAACGCCTTTAGGTCGTCCGATAACTGGGTTGAACCTAGAGGCGAGGTTTTCGAAAAGGCGCTCTTGGATTGTCCGATAACCGGGCTAATCCAAGAGCTAGTTTTGAAAGGGTTCTATGGAGTCGCCACCGATGTTTTTACCGGAAACATCGGGAAATGAGTTAAAAGGCGTTGGTTTTCGAAAAACCAACTTTGGTCGTTAGAACCAGAGTTGGGTAAGGGAGTTAGTTACGTGTAAAGGAAGTGTTAGTTCCTTTACAACGCCCCTTTCGGGTTCCCTATGACAGACCAGCTATTTTAAAATATTTAAACCAGTGAAAATTACGCTTTTACCCTTTTATTTTGCGGAATTTAGAATTATGACTACATGGCCCTAGTTTCTATTGCATAATGAAGATTAAAGCAGTAAAGTAGAGAGAGAGTATAGAAACCTTCGAGGCAAACTTTTCTATTTAATTCTTTAACAACTTGGGTGCTTTTTGGCAGCCCTTCACTCTACACAGCTTTGTAAACCTCTCGAAATGCTCAAAATACTCTTAGAGACGCTCAAAAACTCCGGAAATGCTTCGGAGGGGTTCTAGAGAGAGAAATTCTAGAGAGAAGGAGGAGAAACTGTGTGGAAATGAGGGAATGACGCCCCCTATTTATAGTTTTTCGCGCCTGACAGGTCGAGACCGCCGGTCTCGTCTGACAGGGTCGAGACCGCTGTCTCGCCATTTCGCCAAACGAGACGGCGGTCTCGCCATTTGCATGAGGCGAGACAGCGGTCTTGATTTCGAGACGGCGGTCTCGTCCCAAAAAGGCGAGAAACCTTATTTTCGTGCCGAAAATCCCTCCTATCCTAGTATGGGGCCTAATAGTCTCTCCTAGTGGCTTGTTAGGCTTCGTCCATCTTCGAATAGGAGGTCTTCTACTCTTTATTTGGAGGTAGGGCAAGATTTGGGGTCTACAACCATTCTGATCGGTCATCTGCTACTCCAAGTCATTTTAATCAATTGAATTTATCAGTTTCTCTCTTTTACTCTATAAATACAGTTTTGATTTCTATTTTGAGAATACAAAATTTGGAAAACATTTGAAAGCAATCTTAGAGCTCTCATATTCGTGCCTTTCTCTGTGCATTCATAAACTTTTCATATCATAAGGCATTTAGATCAAGATTGTTGAAAGTTCATCAAGAGAGAAAGTTCTGAGTTAGGGAAATTGCTTCTGGACTTCTATATTGTTAAAGCTAAAGTCTAGGTTTATTCTTTTCATACACTTGTACAAAGGTTAATTGTGTAGATTGGGTTTGAATCTGCACTGGTTACAGTAACTGGGTTTGGTTACTGGGTGGTTAATTCAAGAGTCTATCTTGTGGTGTTGTAAGATAGTTCTTGGGGTAGATTGGTGTATATCTACTGGTTTGTATTTTTCACTTGGAATTAGTGGAACTTGGCAGATTTGTTAAGAACTAGATGTAGCTCTGGGAAAGAGTGAACCAGTATAAACTCTTGTGTTGAATTTCTGTTTTCATCTCTTTACAATTCTTGCTTATATTCTCGCTTTGTTTAAAACCAAATCTGCCTAATAAAAGATTGGATAAAGATTAACCATTCTTCCAAAAGAAAGAGTGTTTTTCAAAAAAAGATTTCAAAAGTTCAATTCACCCCCCCCTTCTTGAACTCAACCATTAATTCTTACAATAAGTGTTTCAACTCACAAATCATCCAAATTCAATTTCTATAAACTATCACAAATAATATCAATATCAATGGGATGATTATACTTAAATAAACTAAAACATCCATTATCGAAATTAAAAGAGTGTCCAATAACATTAAGTTTAGATAACGAAACCAAATTCCTAGATAAACTAGACACATAAAGAGTTTCCAATAAATTTAAATGATGTCTAGTGTTAAGGATTAAATGATAAGTTTTGATTGCTTCCAATGGAGCTTTCACTTCATTCCCCATGAATACACACTTTCCATTTGGTCTTATGGTTTGTATTGTAAGGAATCTTTGTATCCTATTAGAAACACAAGTCATGCATTCAATATCAATCCACCATGTATTATTTGATTCAAAACATACAAAAGAATTAAACTTACATTTCTTTTTGAACCAAACCTTACATTTTAGACAATCCTTATGGAAATGTCTAGATATCTCATAAAGATGACAATTACTATTCTTTGATGCTTTCTTTTGCATTTTCACAAATGCCTCATTAATATTTAGCGACCCTTTACCCTTATCATGTTTCTTCATAAATTTCTTTCTAGCTCATTGATTCCCTTAGTGGCTTACATAATGAACGACGTTACTTCCTTGATTTTAAAGTCTCGTTTCTTCTTGAATCGACATACTGTGTAATTCATGCACATTTCATTTATCTTTTATGGTATTATAGTTCATTTGAAATGGGTCATATTCAGCCATTAAAGAGTTCAGAATAAATGGTACTATGAAGTTTTCATTTACAATCATTTCTAAGGTTTTAAGTCTTGCTGTAATATTTGTCATTTCAATTACATTCTCATGCATAGTATGTGATCCATCAAATTTCATGGTGGTTAGCATATTTGTTAATGTCCCAATAAGAGACTTATCTGCGGTTAGAGAGCGCTCTCCCACTAATTCCACAAACTCTTTAGCACTTTTAGTTTTGGGGAGATTTATCTTAATATTGCTAACGATATTATTCTCATGAACATTAAGTTCAAACTCGTAGATTTTTCTCCAACTTTTAATGGGCTCGTTGTTCATTGTTGCTAAAGTCACTATTCTCTTATAATACGGTCATATCAAAATTCTTAACACCAAGGTAAAATTGAACTTGCTCATTCTAATTAGATAAGTTAAGTCTATTAAAAATTAATACAAACAATACATGAGAATTCGTTAAGTTAGTACTTCATAACAAAAATTTTCGTAAATGTTGAGTCATAAACACATGTTATACATATAATATATAAACAATAATTAAAGTATATTGATCTTCTCATTTGGGTGATACATCAATACAAAACAAACAAACAAACAAAAATAAACATAATGATATCAATAAAATTATAACATTAATAACATTAAAATATACACCAATTAGAATCACTTAATACATTTGATATATAAATAAAACTAAAAACAATAAATTAAATCCATAAATTATTATAATAATAAATTTCAATAAACTAGAAATCAATTAATATATATACATAATTTTTCATCCTTTATTTTATGAGTAATTATATAAATTATCATTAATTTAAAATTAAATATTAAAATTTTATACACTTAATTTCAAATAAATATATAACTTTTATTGCTATTAATCATATTTGTCCTTACATATACAACATCTATAATAAAGAATTTACTGTATTAATTTTATAATTGTGTGCAAAACATTAAATCATGATTTCCATAATTGCACATACTGGAACTACCCAATTCAATGAGAATCGCATATGGGATTCGCTTTTTCCATCTATCAATCGTAACATGCACCCAAACTAATTCATGGTCAATATAATTCTGAAGCAAATGCTAATAAAATCATACGTGACCGGTTACATAATTAATGAAAAGGAAAATATATAAAATTCAATTAAATAATTCTATAACAAGTGCAACATACACTAGTACTCTGGGTGTTATTGACGGATAACAAAATTTCACTTCCTTGATTTTTCATTCTATATTTTCTTTGATGAAAAATTAGAAAGTGTAAGTTTATGTCTAGGAAGAGGACAGCTAGCGGATATTAACCTCTTTTAAAATTATTATTTTCATCATTTAATAATAATTATTAGAAATTGTTTCAATTTTACGTATTTACTATTTAGTCCTAAATTATTTATTTATTTTCTCTCTTAACAATCACATATCCATCTCATGAAATATAAAACTTACAAGAAAACCATGATAAAAAATAAGGTTTATACCTCATTTACTTGTTCCTAATAAAAAACTAATTTACTCGTATCTCTCATGCATTATCTTTACAGCAACAAATTTAAACTTGTTGCTCAAAAGTTGACTAGTAGTAATGTTGTAAAAAAAAAAAATGGTTAGTTTTAAAAATCACAATATATCTACCTTAATCCTACAAGATAGGCTAACTAAGTTGATGAATGTATTCACGTATATGTAGTTAATCTGATATTTTTTAACACACTTACGTAGAGGAGAATGTTTTTTTTTTTTTTCATCACACTCCTTCACTTCCAAGAGTATTTTTCATTATATCTTCTCATCTTGAGGAGAATTATTTTTCATCACACTCCCTCGTATCGATGATGAGTGGTATAATATTGGTTCGATAACGACTGGTTTAATTTATCGCTATTAACGGTTAATGTCCCAACATTTCTAGAGTTGGACTCTAATATCATTTTAAAATTTATGAGATAACTCAATCATACAAAATCGGTTCATTCTGATGATGGGTGATTTACTCCATCATGATTAACATTAAAGTTAACTTTGATATCATCTTAAAAATGGTGAGATACATAACTCAACCCTGTAATAAAGTAAAAATTATACTAATCCAATACTATAAGATTATTATATCTCTAATTAATATGAAATTTTTTAAGTATATATATATATACACACGATGGTATTTTTATTTTCTTACCTAGATCAAATATACAATTTTTCTCAATTTGGCATATGTTATACATCTAGACAGTTAATACTGCTGTCAATTATTCCCTTTAAATTAAGGCGAAATTTTGTATGGAGTTATTTTTTTAATTAAGTGTGTGAAAATAAATATAAAATGTTAATTAAAGTCAAAGTATTTTTAAGCTCTAATTTTATTCAATTTATGTATTGTATGTATAAAAAATGTTTACGAGTTTGTTCGATATTTTATTAGAGCAGGATAGTAAAAGAATTGGGCTTTGCTTTTGGACTACAGCGGAAAAGAAATAGAATGATAGTGAGCTTAGTAATTGTATGAGGTGCAAACAGATATCAGAGAATTTTTATTCCTTTCACTAAAACTCCCATTTCTCCTTCACTTCTTCATTTTTTCTTCCTTCTCCCGCTGATTAGACCTTAAATCTCACTATCCTTTAATTTTAAATAGATATTTATTTTTCTTATGTTTATAATAGATGACTTTAACTTCTTTTATATTTTTAATAAAGTGATATTCCCTCCCTTTATTTTATAAAAATATCATATTGAATAAAAAAAATATGAAAATTAAAATTTTATTTTAAAATAAAAAAAAAAAACTAAATAACTTTTTATGACAAAAAATTGAACAAAAATACTTTTTATAAACAAAATAAAGAAATTAGGTATCACTCTACTGAAAACCCAATAAAAACAGTGAATTACAAATGATAGTTATAACTTTTTCAATATAACGCGGGGTTAAAATATAGTTATAACTTTTTCAATGATAGTTCTTGAGTTATTAAGAATCTGTTTTTAATTTTTTCTTCTATTAGAAAAGAGTGAGATGGATGCAAACAGGATAATGAATAAGAATCTAAAATGAATTCTACCGTTGTCCCAGTTTGTGTAATACGTGACCAATAAACAATAATATGAAGGCCCAACAACAAAATACGAAGAAGGCCCAAGGTTTTAACAGAATCCATTGACATTGAATTGCACATTAATCTAATATTTTGAGCCACGTACAAAACTCCATATTTAACTCATGTTAAACGTTTTTTACTTGTACTACAAAACTTAAGGGGAATATAATATAAGTTCTGCTCTGCATCATGAAAAAGGGTTCGACTGGGCTTATCCTTAAAAATACCTCGATAAATTAAAAAAAAAAAAGATTTTATATAAATTATTATTAATCTTTAACTCAAATAATATAAAACTTCTGAATGTATCAAAACATAATCTATCATATAGAGATTGTGCAATCATAATCAATGGGTATTTTACTGTTTGTTATAATAACTTATTTCATTTTATTTACTTGTATCAATTTAATATTTAATAAGTTTGTAATTTAAATATAATGGATACAATTTTTTTAAGTATTTAGGAGTATAATGATGGATTATACCAATTTAAAAGACTAAGTATTAATACTAATTTTAATTATAAAGACTAAATTGATTTTGTTTTCTTTATACCAAACCTCAAAAATAACTTTCAAGAAGACAAATGACAGAGACGATAGTGTGATTTATTGTTTGATGAAATTTTTTTAAGAAGAATATTGATGTGACTCAATATAAAAGTTTGATGAGATATTTTATTGTTTGATTGCAACTAGATTGAATTTGATATTTTCACTAATTTATTTTTATGGTCTAATGTACATGTCAAGTTTGATATTTGATATAGGTCAAGTTTGATAATCCATGTAAGTAAAAGAGTGTTCAAATATATGAAAAGTAGTGTTAATTCTAGTATTTTATAACACCAAGAAAATGAAATTTTCCAAGGTTTTGTCAAGGTAGTTTTATTATTTTTTGAAAGAGCAAAATTGAATTTTTGTACTTATAATAAAGTGTTGTATGAAATTCTACAAAATAAGGTGTGGTTGTTGAATCTTCAATTAAAGTACGTTATGTTGTTGATAGATTTTTCAAATCATATAAAAATCTAATTTAACACCAAAGAACAAAACATAACAATGTTAGTATGTACAAGAAATTTAAAAAAATATGAAAATGTTTAATTATTACATTAGAACAAATTATTGATATCTTAACTAAAGCAATGTCATTTACTAAGTTTGATACAACACTATTAGAAATTTCTATTTTTTGTCAATAAATTTTTTTTTTTGCAAAATTTTTATTAAAATTTGCACGAAATACATTTTTTTGTGAATTTTCTTACAAAATTTGATTTGTAAGTAATTTATTCGTGGATAATGAGTTACCTAAAAACATAAAATTTACCAAGAAATCTCATGCAAAATTACCAAAAAAAAATTGGGGAAAAATTTTCTAAAAAAAAAATGTTTGTGCATAACATAAAAATTGTAGGAAGCATTTTTCTACAAAGCAAAAATTACATGAGTTTTTCTTAAAAAAAATAAAACATTACACAAATTTTTTGCATAAAAAAAATTACAAGAATCTTTACTAAATACCTTCTACTACAAATTAAAATTTTGCCGGTAGTTTCTTGCAATTTTATAATAATAGATAACTTTTCTTGCAAAATTAAATTGTAAATAATTTTTGTGCTTTTTTTAAAAAAATTCAGAAATTTCAATATTTATTTATTTAATTTAATAATTTTTATACTTTCTTTTAAACATGTATTATTTATTTATTCAGAAAAAAATATTAGTTTATAGCATTGTTATCTATGTGTTTCATACATTTCAATAAATTTTTACATGACTTTTAACAACAAATATATTTTAGTGTATCTTAAAGGAAATAGAGATAATGGATAATTCTAAATAAATAATTAAACATGTATTAAACAAATCACAAATTAATGTAGATAGGATGTATAATACAAAATAAATAATTATATTTAATATTAATTAAATGTGAATAAAATATTAAATACTAAATAAATAATTAAATTTGACATTTAATATTTTGTACATATAAAAAGAGATATGATTTTAAGTTTACATTTTTATCTTAGACTTTAAACATTAACATGCATGTAATGATAAGTACAATTGTACAAGTATTATATATCACATATTTTGCACAATTTATCAAACAAATCAAAATATGGTTCTAAACATGCAACTAGAAACTTAATTTCATCATATGTTATACAATATGTAAAGCAAATCAAAATATAGTTCTAACCTTGAAACTAGAGACTTAATTTCATCATATATTCACAATCGGCAAATCAAATCAAATTATAGTTTCAAACTTGATACTCAATTTCATCATATATTACACAATATGCAAAACAAATCAAAATATAGTTATAAACTTCAAATCAATGATAAAATGGGAAAAAAAATTAACATATCTTTAATCCCATGCAAATTATTATTCACCAAGAAATACAACAAAAATAAATTAAATAATATAATAACTAAATAATAAAATATAAAATATCACCATCTTCTATATGATCATTATCTTCATCGCCATCATTTTCATTATTATGTTAAGATGATGAAGGTGGATGGGAAGAAGATGCAACACAGATGACGGATCTTGATAATTAATTTGAGGAGACAAATAATATATTATTAATAAATAATAAATAAATATAAAAGGGTGAAAGAAGATAAAAGGGTGAGAGGATAAAATTGTAAATATACAAGTAAATATATTAAATGATCATTAATTTTGGGGGGCCAAAATCATAAATTATATGAGAGTTACAAAATTTTGGGGGGGAGGGGGGGGGTCACGACCCTCCTCAGCTCCTAAGAAGATCCACCACTAATACAACATATCCTAAGTATTGCATTAAAACTAAATCTTGATTCCTAGTCTCAATTAATTATTTTCTCATTTGGAGTTATTCTCTTTGTCTCAACAACTTTTGTTTCATTTCTAGTTTTTTCTCTTCTTATATTTGTACTTATTTCTTTAATGTTTGAATTTGACTCCTTAAAGCATTATCTTCCTTAGAATTAAATTGTTGACTTGAGGAAGAAACCAACATTTTCTCTACATATCCAAGATCAAATATCCTTCCATTTTTCTCCTAAATGAATCAATCCATATATATCCAAGTCAAATGACATTTGATTAATAGATTGTCTAATGTTAGTATGCTCCCTAGAACTTTGGGATATTAACTCACTTTTTCATTGCTCAAATTTATCCTGCAAATAAAAGTAACTAATGAAATCAAAGAAATTAAAAACTCAATTAAAAACAAATAAACAATTTAAAAAATTTACAAATGCAAATTTTGCATGAAGATCAACCCAACTTTGATTCTTTTTTCTTCAATGTGTACACAAGTATAAGTCAATTAATGATGAGTCTTTCCGTTTTTCCTCATTTTGTAATTAATAAAGAAGAAATTTTAATATCATTAATTTTGAAAATTAAATTATAAATATAATATTAAATTTATATACCATTATGTTCCGTCAAGGAACGAAAGTGTTTCAGCCTCATGTATACTATGATAACATCGTTAGGGTCAATTCTCATATCCAAGGTATTGTCTGCTTTGGAGCTCTAGTCTGTCATAGTTATATCTAAGGTATATACTACCAATGATCTCGACTCCTAAGCGATGTGGTACTCATGAGCGTACCAGAACATAACCCCCAGTTAAGGACTAAAGGGTATAAGTGGAGTGAGACTCTATTCTCAACTATACGGTGGGTGTCAATGTTTCGTCTAGGAACGAGAGTGTCCTAACCTTATGTTGGCATTGTTTGTGGGGCTTATGTTATGGTACATTCATGAGTATCATATCGCTTACGAGTCGAGGCCAATGGTAGTTTATATACACCTCCTCTCTCAACCCATCGAGACACATTTTAAGGACAAAACCGTGACAGACTATAGCTCTAAAGTGAATAGTACCTTGAACGTGAGAAATGACCGTAATGATGTTATCATAGTAGATATGAGATTGGGACACTCTTGTTCCTAGATGGAACACATTATTTTCTAATTAAGTGATAGTGAATAGATCCACCAGTGTGAAAAGATGCACCATCCATAGTCACACGATTTCTTTTATTTATTTTAAACCTATTTTTGAAAGTTAAAGATCCCAATGTACCTTTAGTTGTATCTACACATCCTCTCCCATCCAAATTGGTTTTTTCTTTAAACCCTTATGTGCTTCTTGTATTAATTGAGTAATTTTAGTTGCACCCATTCTCTCAAAGTTACGTTACACGATGTCATTATGCTAAGTTAACCATGCAAATTTTGACTAAATTGATTATGATAACAATATTAGAAACCTTTTCAAAAAATATATTTTTAAACAAAGTTTAAAATTTGTATACTTTGAACATAGCAAACCATGTCTCCCTTTGACCTTTGGATAACTTCTTCCATTATAGTTTTGCCTCTTCCAAGTTAGTGCGATAATTGAAGTAATTGACCCAACTACCAACTTGTGTTAATCAAACCTATGTGAAACAACAAAATTGAGAAGTAATGAATAACTTAAACAACAAAATTTTTATCATATGTTAAAGAATAAAAGACGATTCATTAACAAAAACTACTCATTCATCCCTCTCTAGTAGTATAAAAATTTCCTTCCCACTATGTTTTTCACTAACATGGTTAGATGAAGAAAACAGATTGTCACCAAAATCTTGTAGTTGATGAACTTGAGTAGGGATGGATTGACTTTGGGAGGATCAAGGTGAAAAAGGTGGTGGAGGTGGAGGTCGAAATATATGTGGTGGTGGGGTTTATATATAGGTACGGGAGGAGGAAGAAGAGGTTAAGATATGGTATATTTTTTTTAAATTGCACCTTTACAATATGAAATACTTCTCCTTGTAAGAATTGTTTAAACAAGTCTACAACCAGAATTCCTTATGGCCTAGAAGTAAAGAATAATTCTCAACAAGTGACAGTGATGAATCTTAGCTAATCAAATTCATCTTATATTATCATTCAGAATTCCTTATGGCCTAGAAATAAAGAATGATTCTCAACAAGTGACAGTGATGAATCTTAGCTAATCAAATTCATCTTATATTATCATTCCAACATATGCACAAAGGCTTATCCACAAGAATTTTCAATCACATTTTGTCAATTTAGTTGTGTTGGAGCATACCATATATCTATTGTCATCGCATCACAAAGCACTCAGAAACCGTTAGAAAAATAACGAACAAACAAATTTCTCTATACTTGTGAATAA